ATTTTTGTTATATTTTAATGATTTGTTTTTTTTTTATTATTATGTTGCATAATAAACACTACATATGTAAAATCATTTTTATAGTATTTTTTTTGTTTTGTATTTTTTACTGTGTTATTGAAATAGATTGCTAAATGGAAACAAACAACCACTTAAAATTGTAAGTTATAAAAACGGTTTTGATAATGTCCATTTTTTTAAATGTGTTTATGATTTGCGTTTTTTTATTAAATTTTTTTGCTTTAAGTGGGAGTGGTTTTCGATGGAAAAAAAGTAAAAAAAGAAAACCTCTTTTTAAATTCAATACAAAAGCCAGTTGGTATTTGAAATTTAAATGAAGGAATGTATAGGAAGGGTGACCATGACTTTCCTTCTTAACTTCATTCGGACTGTAATGAATTAAATAAATAGTTTTTTTTTCTTTTAATACCTTTAAAACAGATTTAAAAAGAGGGCTTATTGTTACTCTTATTCGGTGTATTTAATGACTTATTTTTTTGTTTGTTTGTTTCATTAAAAGCTAATGGTGAATTTGTTTGTCCATATATATAAATATTTGTGTTTCTTTTTTTGTTATTATATCAATTATAATTTCATTTGAAATTTGTTTTTTCACTCGGTCTCTACAATTTTACGAGTTTTCACAGTTAATGTGGTTTGTATTTTTTATAAATTGTTCTTTTTTTTGGCAATTTTCTAAAATTATTTATTTATTTCGAATAAAAATTAAATTAATATAATCTTTCATATCTGAAATTAGTTGGAAAAAAAAAGAAGAAAATAATATTTGGTATTTTAATTAAAAGAAAGAAATATGAAGAGAAATATATATGAATATGAGGGTGTATGTATGTATATGTTAATGAAGTAGGATAGACAACAAGGGATTTTCTCAAATTTGATCAGATTTAAATTCATGTTTCATACTTTTCAACAAATTAAATTCATTTAATGGATTTACATTATAACTAGCGATTTTTTATTTGGAGTGGAATTTTGTATAGAAGAAAGACTTGTTTCCATTGACACCAACTTTCTAAAGTGGGGAACTAAGGGTGAAATCTCTACTAGAGTTTGAAAATCTAAAAAAATGACCAAAAAAACATTTTTTTAGGTTATAACCAAATTCGAACTGATATTTAACCTATATCTGTTACATATAATGTTTTAGTTTGTTCGGTGACCTATAGTGGAATTTGATGTAGAGTATTTTTGCCATTGGTTCCATCCTCAAAAAATGAAGTATTCAGGGAGATTTTGGCAAAAATCTGAAAGAAACCCAAATTTCACCAGATTTAAATTCATGATTCATACTTTTCAACAAATTGGGATGATATTTCATTGATTTGCATTATAACTACCGATTTTTCATGTTTGGAAACCTATAGTGGAATTTTGTGTAGAAGACTTTCTCCATTGACACCAACTTTATAAAATGTGGAACTAAGGAAATCTGTACTAGAGTTTGAAAATCTAAGAAAATTACCAAAAAAATTTTTTTTCAGGTTATAACCATATTCAAACTGAGATTTAATCGATATCTATAATATACACTGTTTTAGTTTGTTCGGTGACCTATAGTGAAATTTGATGTAGAATAATTTTCCCATTGGTTCCATCTTCAAAAAATGAAGTATTCAGGTTGATTTTGGCAAAAATCTAAAAGAAACCCAAATTTCAACAGATTTAAATTCATGTTTCATACTTCTCAATAAATTGGAATGGAACTACCGATTTTTCTTGCTTGGATACCCATTCCAAAAGGGGGTTTCTGTAACTATAAAAAATTACTAAAGCTCGCATATAAAGATTCGTTTCAGCTTGTCTATAAATATATCCTTCAACTCATCTATAAAGACACCCTTCAGCTCGACTATATAGACTATCTATAGCTCTTCTATAAAGACTCAATTAAGCTCGACTGTAAAAAAAGCGAGCTTCTGCTCGGCCATACACAACTCCATCTGCTTGTCTATCGACTCGCTTCAGTTATTCGATAAAGACTGCCTTCAGCTTGTCTATAAAGACTCTTTTTAGCTCGTCTACAAAGAATCACCTTTGCTCTTCAGCAAAGAATCCTTTCAGTTAATCTACAAATTCCTTCAACTCATCTAAAAAGATTCCCCGATCTTCAATAACTATACGAAGATTCCCTGACCTATAACTCACTGATTTGTATGAGAAAACCCGCGAAGTGAAATGTTCTGAAATGCGCATATATAACGCACGAACTAAATAGCGTATGAATAAAAATTAGATGTGTTATATTTTTTGTATGTATACTATTGTTATTGTTATTTTTTTTTTTTATTTCAAATATATACAAAACATGTGTATTTAATAGAAGTATAAATATGTGTACATAAAAAAAGAAGAGTAAACTTAAATATAAGTTATATATATTTATATAGAGGAAGGGTATTTAACATATTATTTTTAATTGCAGAAATATATAGAGAATAGATATAGGTACTGTACAGAATTTCGTTGTTTTTATTTTTACAATTAAAAGATAATAGAGGCTGCTAATATAATATGTGGAATATATGTGGAAGCTTGTGTAAAAATACCAAAACATAAAATATGTATATAATTTAAAAAAAATAATAATAAATTGAAATAAATCAAGACATATTCATATAAAGAAGAAACCCGATATAATTTTTTATATATAAAACACTTTGTAATTCTCTTTGCTTAAATGGTCTAGTATTCCCTTATGAAGACAAATATAGTCCTTATTAAGTACTTACAACAATTTCATTTGTTTGTTTTGTTGTTTTTACAATAACAAAAGGAAATTAAACAATATCTAGTTATAGTTTCGTTTTGTATAACAAACTCCGCTATAAACTGGTATTTTACATACTTAATCAGCGATTTTTCCTGTTTGGGCCCCATGGTGAAATTTTGTGTGGAATACTTTTTCCATTGACACTAACTTGCTAGAAAGGGGAACTAAGGGCGAAATCAGTACTAGTTCGAAAATAACTATTTTTTTTTTCAGGTTATAACCAAATTTGAATTTAGATTGAACCGATACCTATTATCGATACGGTTTTAATTTGCGCAGTGATGTACAGTGAAATTTGATGTAGAATATTTTTCCAATTGGTTCCATCCTCAAAAATTGAAGTATTCAGGGAAATTGTTGCAAAAATCGAAAAAACCCAAGCATCACTAGATGGGATGGTGGTATTTAATAGATTTATATTATAACTACCTATTTTTCTTGTTTGGAGACCCATGGTGGAATTTTGTATAGAATATTTTTTCCATTGACACCAACTTGCTAAAAATCTAAGAAAATAACCAAAAAACATTTTTTCCAGGTTATAACCAATTTTGAATTTAGATTTAACCGATATCTATTATATATACTGTTTTAGTTTGTTCAGTGATCTATAGTGAAATTTAATGTAGAATATTTTTCTCATTGGTTCCATCCTCAAAAAATGAAGTATTCAGGGAAATGAAGAAGCAAAACCCAAAATTTCACCAGATTTAAATACATGTTTCGTACTTTTTAACAATTGGGATGATGGTATTTAATGGATTTAGATTATATCTACCGATTTATCTTGATTGGAAACCTATAGTGAAATTTAGTGTAGTATACTTTTTCCATTGATACCAATTTCCTAAAATGGGGAACTAAGGGTGAAATCTGTACTAGTTCGAAAATGTATAAAAAAATGTATAAAATAAAGTCTATTATGAATCCCTTCAGCTCGTCTATAAAAAGACTCCCTTCAGCTCGTCTATAAAGACTCCCTTCAGCTCGTCTATAAAGACTCCCTCCTTCAGCTCGTCTATAAAGACTCCCTCCTTCAGCTCGTCTATAAAGACTCCCTCCTTCAGCTCGTCTATAAAGACTCCCTCCTTCAGCTCGTCTATAAAGACTCCCTCCTTCAGCTCGTCTATAAAGACTCCCTCCTTCAGCTCGTCTATAAAGACTCCCTCCTTCAGCTCGTCTATAAAGACTCCCTCCTTCAGCTCGTCTATAAAGACTCCCTTTAGCTCGTCTATAAAGACTCCCTTCAGCTCGTCTATAAAGACTCCCTTCAGCTCGTCTATAAAGACTCCTTTCAGCTCGTCTATAATGACTCCCTTCAGCTCGTCTATAAAGACTCCCTTCAGCTCGTCTATAAAGACTCCCTTCAGCTCGTCTATAAAGACTCCCTTCAGCTCGTCTATAAAGACTCCCTTCAGCTTGTCTATAAAGACTCCCTTCAGCTAAAAAAATAACCAAATAAAAACCCTTTCAAGTTATAACCATAGAATATTTTCCCCATTGTTTTCATCCTCAAAAATTATAGTATTTTTGGAGATTCAGCTAGTCCATAAAGATTCGCTTCAGCTCGCCTGTAAATACCTCTTTCAGTTAGCATATAATGAATTGCTTCAATTCGCCTGTAAAGACTCCTTAGCAAATAATGATGACTTCCAGAAGCCCTTTAGCTCTCATTTATAAAGACTACTATAAATTGTCCAGTTTGTAATCTGCAGAATACATACTTTTTTGAATGAACTTGGGTATTAAAAAATAAAACCAAGAATATAAATGTATTATAACCTAAAAACACAACTGCTAGTAATAACAAATACAAATCAATCTCCTCATTTTCACATCTAAAGTATAACAACCTTCATATTTTAAGTAATTATTTCGATTATGACAAAAGTGTTCTAATGTTTCGAAATATTTAGAGTACTAATTTTTGAACTAAACAAAATATAACAACCTATGTAGTAATTGAATGTCGTCAAGGTACTTGGTAAAATAAAATAATGATTGATTGCTTTTGGTTTGTTTGTTTCGTTTTAATTGTGTTTTAGATAAATCTGTTTGATTTATTAATGGAATGGAAAAACCAAATGGAAATTTTTGGACTCAAATGTAAAATGCAAAAGAAAATCGATAAATTAAAAAATAAGCAATGTAACGAAATAAAAAACGAAAACACAAAAAAGAGGAACAGAAAGGAAATTTGAAAACACACACACATTTAGACCACACAAGCTGAGAAAACTCCCATTACACGTCAGCCAAGATCTTGCTGTTGATCTGTACGATAAATGGCAGCACGATTATTTGTACTGTACCTGCTGTTTCCAGATTGCGGTTCTTGTTGTTGTTGCTGCTGTTCATCATTAGCATTAATACTATTTGGTGCTGCTGCTGGTGGTGTGGAGGATGTCATCGGTTGTAAACGTATAGGAGCTGTTGCAGTTTGTATTTTAAAAAACTTATCCGAATCTTCTTCGTTTAATTGATTCGATTGTTGTAATTCGAATTGTTGTTGTTGGTCAGCTAATATTTTAGCTGTTAAAATTGACACATACGCCTTATAGCGACGTAACTGAAAATGGAAGTGAAGGGGGAGGGAGGGAATATGAAAAAATTGATTTTTTGAATATTTATTCAAATATGGATATGGGGGGAAAACTTACCTCATATTGTAAAAATGCTTCTTTTTCTTTGTAATTTTGTAAAGCTAAGCCTTTTGTTGGTATGGGACCCTTTTTATGTTCCATCAATGTGTTTTCAATTTTTGCTAATTGCTGTTCATGTGACTCTAATTGTTCTTTCTGTAAGGATAAAGGAGAGACGAATAAGTAACCCATATTAAAAATATTAATGAGAAATAAAAGGATTAGAGAGCCTGCAGATCAGAAGTATTTCTAAACTGCCAAAAATGATAATAAAGCAACGTCTAAAAGAACGCCATTCAGTTTTCCAACAGAGGCGCCTATAAAGACTGGTCTATAAAGACTTCCTTTAGCTCGATTCGTTTAAGTTCGTCTATTGAGATTCGTTCCAGGTCGCTAAAAAATATTTGCTCCAGATTGCCAAAAATTATCGACTCGCTTCAATTGATCCACAAAGAAGCGCCCCAGTTCGCCTATAATGACCACATTCTGTTCGTCTTTAACGCCGTTTTTGGCTCGTGTATAAAAACTTATCTCACTTCGCCGGTATACTCTCTATAGCTCGTCTAGGAAAGTGTCCTAACAACTCACCTATAAATACGATTTTTACTTGTTTATAAAGACGATCTTCAGCTTGTCTATAAAGAGAGTTCACTTTGAAGACGCCTTCTATTTCATCCCTTAAAGTTGCCTAAAGTTCATCTATAAAGACTTCCTCCGGCTCGTCTAAAAAGACTCCCTCCGGCTCGCCTATAAAGACTTTTCCGGCTCGTCTATAAAGACTCCCTCCGTCACGTCTATAAAGACTCTCCCCGTCACGTCTATAAAGATTCCTTCCGTCACGTCTATAAAGACTCTCTTTAGCTCGTCTATAAAAACTCCCTTAAGCTCTTTTTAAAGTCTTTAGCTTCCACAAAAACTCCCTTCAGCTTCTCCTCTATTAAGACATCATGTCATTTTTAGTCCACTTTTTGTTGTTGTTTTTGTGAAGGAAATTTTTTTTTTCAGTTTTACTTACCAGTAACAATTTAGTATGCGAACTAGGTAGCAGTGGTCTTTGGAAACGTTTTTGACTACCCACACCTCCTTCTAAAGGAGGTGCTGAATAGGCGGCACATACAAAATTGATAGTCTCCACCCAGGATTGCAATTCCTTGGAATCGCTAGTTTGGAATAGATATTCTGCTTGATCGGCAGTTTGTAAACGAAAGACATGTTGTTTTTTAGTATAATCTGTGGCCTTGGTTGCCAGGGCATGATGGATGCGTATGGCATTATGAAGGTTATCAGACATCTGGAGAAGAAAACAAAAAAATTAATTTATTTTAGAATAATAAAAGGGTGTGAGTGTGTGAAAACAAACTTGACTCTTGCGAAAACCATGTTCATCCTTGTGCAAAAATAACACCAAATCCCGCAGTGTACAATAGAACATTTTCCATGATCGTTTGCCAAAAGGAGCTGTAACATAAAGAACAATTAAAATAATATTTTTTTTAATATAAAAATCCTTCGGTCTGTCCTTACTCTTTTTGAAATTTGCATCATAACAACTCTTCCTCATGACATAACCCTTTTTATATTCCACGGCATTTGTGGTTTCGGGTAAATCCAAGAATGGATTTTGTCCTAAATGCGCTGTCGATTGTATACTATTTTTATTATCAGACTGTTGTTTGGCCAAATCATTGGCATCATCATCCCTGAAATGGAAAAAACAAAACAAAAAATAATTAAATTACCAAATACTTTTTAGGGCAAACTAGGAGTTGAAAATACTTACAAGGCCCACTCCAATGGCTGTGTTTTAATGGCCTGATATAAACATTTGAGTATATCTTTGGGAAAATTGTCACCATCGTTGAGTTCGGCCAGATTTTCAATGAATTCACTGCATGTCATTTTACGACCAATATTTTGGCCATGTAAATCGGTATTTAGTAACATAATAGCACAGGTTAAGGTATGAACGGCATCTGGATAAAGAAAAAACAAATTAATTAAAAATAATATTGAAAAATTTAATTTTGTGGCAGGATTTGAGAGAGAATTGGTTGCCTATCAACAATACTATTTAGGTATCCAGGGGGGTTAGTTTGATACATAAATAAAAGAAACTATTCAAATTGATGATATAATTTTTCCGATTTCTATAATATATAGAGATTTCTTTTGTTCGGCGACCTATAGTAAAATTTAATGTAGAATATTTCTTTCATTAAGGCATTATATCTAAATTTATAAATTAAGTCAATTTTTGGCACCATTCGAAAAAAGTCAGTATTTCCATGATTTTTTAATTTCTCCATTTGATTATGGATATTTTATTGAAATAGTAAATAAATACCAACTTTTCTTGTTCAGAGACCCACAGTAAAATTTTGTGTAGAATATTTTGTCCTTTAATATCGATCCTCTAAATTAAAGTAATCATGGCCATTTGACCCCAGGTTGAAAAAGCAAACATGAAACTAATCAAGGTTTTTTTGCAAATCAAATTTGATAGTGATATTTTTATGAATATCTATTACACATATAAATATAATTTCTTCGGTGACCTCTAGTGAAATTTTGTGTAGAATATTTTTTTTCCTTAAAACCATTCTTCTAAATTTATATATTAAACGAATTTTTGACACAATTCGAAAAATTAAACAAATTTCCAAAATTTTGTTTTAATTTTGTTGTGAATATTTCATCGGTATATACTTTATCTATAGATTTTTTTTTTGTTTGGTGAAATATTGTGCAGAATATTTTATTATTTAATATCGCCCTTCTAAATTTAAGTAATCGTGATCATGCAGATCGACGATAATAAAAATATGAAGCTAATATTTTTTTACACAGAAAATTTGTTAGAGATATTTTTAGGAATATCTATCACATATACAGATTTCTATTGTTCGGTGACCCATAGTGAAATTCTCCGTAGAATATTTCTTCCATTAGGATCATCCTCCAAAAATCATATTTTGAAGGATTTTTGGGCAAAAATTGAAATTAACACACAATTTACACAGAATTTGTTTAATCCTCTATATACCCAATTTTTTTTTTAACATTTGTTTGAGATATTTTTACTAATATCTATTATATACACTGATTTCTTTTGTTCGGTGACCCATAGTGAAATTCTCCGTAGAATATTTCTTCCATTAGGATCATCCTCCAAAAATCATATTTTGAAGGAGTTTTGGGCAAAAATTGAAATTAACACACAATTTACACAGAATTTGTTTAATCCTCTATATACCCAATTTGTTTACATTTGTTTGATATATTTTTACCAATATCTATTATATATACAGATATCTATTGTTCGGTGACCCATAGTGAAATTCTCTGTAGAATATTTCTTCCATTAGGATTATCTTCCAAAAATCATGTTTTGAAGGAGTTTTGGGCAAAAATTGAAATTAAAACACAGTTAACACATAATTTGTTTAATATTTTATACACCTAATTTTTTGTGTATTTTATTTTGATATATATTTTTCCCATGGACTTTTCTTGTTTTGGGACCTCTAGTAAAATTTAGTATAGAATACTTTTTCCCTTGACGCCAACCTCCTAAAATTTAGGAGTAGAGGTCGAACTGCTGCTATCTCTAAAAGTAACAAATTACGAACCAAACACATTTTGTAGCTAAGTTTTAACTGATAACAGATATATATACAGATTTCCATTGTTCGGTGACCTATATGGAAATTTCATGTAAAATATTTCAACCATTTTGTCCAAATGTTTTGAAGCAGAATTAGGCACAATTCAGAACAAGTTTATAATTAACACATTTTATTAATATATAACGATATAAATCCAAATTGGAACTGAAATTAAAACGGGAATTATAATATATACTGAATTTTATTGTTCGGAGACCTATAGTGACGTTCTCTGACGAATATTTCTTCCATCAGGATTTTGCTTCAAAAATCATGTTTTGAAGGAGTTTTGGACAAAAATTAAAATTAACACGATAATAATACAGAATTTTGTTTAATACTATATACACCCAATTTGTTGCGTATTTTATTTTGATACATACTAATCCCATCGACTTTTCTTGTTTTGGGGCCTCTAGTAAAATTTGGTATAGAATATTTTTTCCCTTGACGCCATCCTTCTAAAATTTAGGAATAGAAGTCAAACTGCTGCTATCTCTAAAAGTAACAATTTACGAACTAAACACATTTTAAACCCCACTTTTTGGCTGAGTTTTAACTGATAACAGTTATATATACAGATTTCCATTGTTCGGTGACCTATATTATAATTTCATATAGAATATTTTTTCCATTAAGATCATGCCCCTAAAATAATATTTTGAAGGAGATTTTGGCACAATTGAAAAATAATATATAATTAACATATTTTTTATAATATATAATTATATATCATAATTGACACAGCCATTTAACCGACAACTACTATATATACATATTACTATATATACATATTACTCTTTTTCGATGACCTATCGTGAAATTCCTTGCAGTATATTTCTTCCATTAGTATCAACCATCTAAAACAAAGTATTGTAGCAGTTTTGTTCAAAATTTTGAATTTTCTTTAAAACTTAATATAAACCAGTTTATTATGTATATTTCTTGTATATGTACTGTATCTACAGATTTTTCTTGTTCGGGGACCCATAGTGAAATTTTATATAGGATATTTTCTTTTTTAACACCACGACCACACCTATAACCTGTCATTATGATAGATTTCGGTTCTATTCAAAAAGGGTAAATATTTAACCAACAAATCATGATTTTTTCTCCTCCTCTGTACAGTACCTCCTACGAATTTTATTTTTGCGGTTTGTATATTGAAAATTTGTAACGAATTTGTGTAGTTAAATTCGAACTTACCTTGTGAATTAAATGTACCAGGATTACAATCTAAATAACGTTTCGAAAAATGTACCAATACACGTTCACGTTCTTGGGTTTCACCCGATAAGGCGAATTGTTGTAGAAATTCACGCAACGACTGATCCAAAGTCTTTTTTTCAAAATTAAAATATTTCAAATATTCATCGGCCACAGCGCGATTAAAATCATTGCTATGGAAAAAGAGAAGAAAATTAAAATTAAATTTAAACAAGAAATGAATTTTTTTATCACTTACTTTTTACTTAAATGACGTGATACATCACTTTTCTTGAAACCATCAAGAGTATACAGTCTTTTTGCCAAACGTATGGCCGATGGCATATCAACAGCCTTGGGTGAATAGTGATAGGAGTGTAGAGATTCAACATCACTGCCATCATCGGAGACAGGTGGTGAGGAGTCACGACCATCAGCCGAGCCGCCACAATTATTATTTATGCCCGCCGATGTTGAACCTTGCTGTTGCAGAGGTTCTTCGGTAAGGGTGGCAAGTTCATCTTCGGAATCTTTAAGTTCTGACGATGTTGTGGCGGCATATTGAGATCTACTCGAGGGTGAACCACCACCACCATTGTTGTTGTTATTGACAGTGTTGCCATTGTCGGCGCCACGCACCTTTATGACAACCTTGTGTTCAGAGGATGATGATTTTTGCTGTTGCCGGTGTTGTTGTTGGTGCTGTTGACGCTGCACAGCAGCATCCGAAACCAAAATGGTGGAGTCCGAATCACTGGGATCGCTAAGTATCATACCGCCTAAAAGATCGCGAGAACTGAGTAAATTATCATCATCCTGATAGTCAGGGCTAGAAATATTTGATATGGCCTCGGAGACACTAAGGTCTCCTCCGCCGCCACCTCCACCAAGAGTGTTATTAGTATTATTGCTACTACCACCACCCCCACCGCTGCCATTGGGGTAGTACAATAAACCCATTGTTGTTGTATTAGTTGTTGAATTCATACTACTACCGTTGGTTACAACAACATGTTGTTGTTGTTGTTGACCACCATATTGCATTAGACCATTATTATTACCGCTTAGGCCAAAGGCACCCTTTGAACCGCCCGACGATGACATAACCGAACTAGATACCGATGTGGGTGAGGCAGGACTACCGGCTGAATGTTGTGGCGATGAACTCATCGAACTGGAGTGTGAATGTGAATGATGGGAATGCGAATGATTGTTGCTGCTATTGTAATGTGTTGAATACTGCTGTTGTTGTTGCTGCTGCTGCTGTTGCAAAGCTGCTATTTGATGTGGCTGTAGTGGGGCATTATATGTCCAGACAATACGATCACGATCGGAATTCTAAGAAAAACAATGTTGTGCATTTTTCGTTGGAAGGGGAAAAATGGAAAGAGAAAAAAATACAATTTATTAAGTTAATTTTAGACTTTGGTTATATGGGTAATTGGGGAGTATTACAGACTAGCTATTCCAATAATAATTTAACTAATATCTAAAATAAGTTTTTCGGAAAGCACCAGAAAAAAGGCTTAATTATAAAACCAATCCTTGGGCAGGACAAAATGAAAATGTCGGTTACTTTTTTGAAATCATATTTTACATACTTAATATAGAAGTTGTTACTTCATTGATATATATTATATCTAGAGATTTTTTTTGTTTGGCGACCCATACTGGAATTTTGTGTAGATTAGTTTACTCCTTTACAACAACCTCCTAAAATGGGGGACTAAGGGTGAAATTGGTTCTAGTTCAAAAATCTATAAATATAACCAGAAAAACAACTTTTCTGGTTGTAAACAAATTTGAATTGAGTTTTAACCGATATCTTTTACATATACCGATTTTTATTGTTCGGTAAACTATAGTGAAAATTGATGTCGAATATTTTTCCCATTGGTTCCATCCTCAAAAAATTAAGTACTCAGGGAGATTTTGGCAAAAATTGGAAAGAAACCCAAATATCAACAGATTTAAATTCATGCTTTATACTTTTCAATAATTTGGAATGGCATTTTAATAATTTACATTATAACTATCGATTTTTCTTGTTTGAACGTCCATAGTGGAATTTTGTATAGAATACTTTTTCCTTTGATAACAATTTCCTTAAATGAGGGACTAAGGATGAAATCTGCACTAGTTCGAAAAACAAAGAAAATAACCAGAAAAACAACTTTTCTGGTTATAACCAAATTTAAAGTAAGTTTTAACCGATATCTATTATATATACCGATTTTTATTGTTCGGTAAACTATAGTGAAAATTGATATCGAATATTTTTCCCATTGGTTCCATCCTCAAAAATTGCAATTTTGAGGAAGATTATGGCAAAAAGAACCCCAGAACCAGATTTAGTTTCATGTTTTATATACTTTTCAAAATTTGGGATGATATTTTAATGATTTAGATTATAACTATCGATTTTTCTTGTTTGGAGACCCATAGTGGAATTTTGTGTAGAATAATTTTTCCATTGACACCCACTTCCTATAATGGGAGACTAAGGGTACAATCTGTACCAGTTCGAAAAAACTAAGAAAATGAAAAACATGTTTTCAGGATATAACCAATTTGAACTGAGATTTAACCGATAATATATTCCGATTTCTATTGTTCGGTAAACTATAGTGAAAATTGATGTCGAATATTTTTCCCATTGGTTCCATCTTCAAAAATTGAAATTTTGAGGGAGATTTTGGCAAAAAGTCGAAAGGAACCCCAGAACCAGATTTAAATCCATGTTTCACACTTTTCAACAAATTGGGATGATATTTCATGGATTTACATTATAACTACCGATTTTTCTTGTTTGGAGACCCATAGTGGAATTTTGTGTAGAATATTTTACTCCTTTAGAACAACCTTCTAAAATGAGGGACTAAGGGTGAAATCGGTACTAATTCGAAAATCTAAGGAAATAACAAAAAAAAATCATTTTTTCAGGTTACAACCAAATTTTGAAGCGCGATTTATCCGATATCTATTATATATACTCTTTTATTTTGTTCGATGACCTATAGTGAAATTTGATATAGAATATATTTTCAATTGGAATCATTCCCAAAAAATGAAGTATTGAGGGAGATATTTGCCAAAATCGGAAATAATACGAAATATAACGACAATTTGTATCATGTTTAATATATCCAAAACTGTTTTTGTTGTTTTAATGATATAAATAGTATATATACCGATATCTCTTGTTTGGAGACTCATAGTTAAATTTCATATAGAATATTTTTTCCATTAACACCAATCCGCTAAAATGAAGTACAAAGGGTCAAATTGATGCCAAAACAAGAGACTAAGGAAATAATCAATAAATGTTTCCCTTTATATATGTATTCAAATTGGTACCGATATTTAACATACATCTGTTACCGATAACGATTTCTTTTGTTCGGTGACCTATATTGAAATTTGATGTAGAATATTTCATACATTGACAGCATCCCTAAAAATTGAAGTATTAAGGGAGATTTTGGTAATAATCTAAAATAATACCAAATGTAACCAATTCTATTTTCATGTTTATTATACCCTTCACCACACTGTGGTACAGGGTATTATGTCTTTGTGCATATGTTTGTAACAGGCAAAAATAATCGAGATAGACCCATGGTTCCTTTTGAGAATATACATAGAATCACTTTCTAAGTCGATTTATGCATGTCCGTCCGTCCGTCCGTCCGTCTGTCCGTCTGTCTGTCCATGTTAACTTGTAAACAAAGTACAGGTCGCATTTATGATCCGAATTGGATGAAATTTGGCATAGGTCACTTATTCGGCCCAAGGACGAACCCTATTGAAATTGGGAAAAATCGGTTCAGATTTAGATATAGCTCCCATATATATATTTAACCGATTTAATGTAAACGGTCCCTATATATCTTTCGATTTGCACGAAATTTGGTGCAGCCTAATCATTTAAGTCTAGAACGATGTCTGCCAAGTTTCGTAAAAATCGGTCCAGATTTAGATATAGCTCCCATATATAGTTTCGTCCGATTTCATGTAAATTGTGCCCCAAAGTTCCTATATATCTTTTGATTTGCACGAAATTTGGCATAACGTACTGAATTAAGCCTAGAGTGATGTCTGCCAAGTTTCGTCAAAATCGGTCCAGATTTAGATATAGCTCCCATATATAGTTTCGTCCGATTTCATGTAAATGGTGCCCCAAAGTCCCTATATATCTTTTGATTTGCTCGAAATTTGGCATAACGTACTGAATTAAGCCTAGAGTGATGTATGCCAAGTTTCGAGAAAATCGGTCCAGATTTAGATATAGCTCCCATATATAGTTTCGTCCGATTTCATGTAAATGGTGCCCCAAAGTCCCTATATATCTTTCGATTTGCACGAAATTTGGCATAACGTACTGAATTGAGCCTAGAATGATGTCTGCCAACTTTCGAGAAAATCAGTCCAGATTTAGATATGGCTCCCATATATAGTTTCGTCCGATTTCATGTAAATAGTGCACCAAAGTCCCTATATATCTTTCGATTTACACGAAATTTGGTACAGCCTGATCATTTAGGTCTAGAATGATGTCTGCCAAGTTTCGTGAAAATCGGTCCAGATTTAGATAGATATAGCCCCTTTTATTATAGATTGATTTTAAGTAATTGACGCACCATATATATTTTCGCCCGATTTCAATTAAATTTGGGATCAAACTCCTCATGTTAGACAGATTGACATCAAAGTTTGCACATCGTACAAAATTGAGCATAAAATTATATAGTTGCGTTTTCTAGAAGTACAGACATAGCCCTACGGATGACCTATTTATATTTGTTTGAAGTCGATTTACATACTTTATGGATAGATCTATGTAGATTCACATTTAGATAAATATCACATATTTTATTTCATCCAATTTCATGCTAATAGTCCTGTGTAATATACCCATAGTGGTGAAGGGTATCATATAGTCGGCCCCGTCCGACTTTACTACTTTCCTTACTGGTTTTTTCTTTATTTTCATTCCCATTCTCTCATGCCTCTTGATTTTGGTGCTTTCCATCTATCTCACTGAGCTAAATAAATTGAAAAAATACTTTTAAAAAATTTTACATAAAAATATTTTTCTTAAAATAAATTTTGGAAGCGTTAATTTTTTTACACGCAATTTTGTATTCTTCACCTTTATTTGAGATTAGATATATATATTTTTTTGAAGAAAACAATAATGAAAAAAGACAAGAAAAACATGTGTGTGTGTGGTGTAGTGTTGTTGTGCAGTATAGGAGTGTCTGTGTGTGAGTGGTGTTTTTGGGGATTTATAGAAATCTTGTTAAAAAATAAAAAAACAAAAAGGATAAAAGCATTAAACAAAAACGAAAGTCGTGCAGAAGAATACACAATCATACATACATGCTGGTTTATATAGCACACATGCATTGTGCAACAATGAAAGCAGAATGCCACGCATCATTGGGGGAAGGTTTTCCTTTTTCAAAAGTAAAAAACTAAGTCATGCATCATATTCCCAATAGAAATTAAAATAATATTCTTTAAAAAAATCACAGCTTGGATAGACTGTGAAAAATATTCGTGAAAAAATCTACAGCTTGGATAGACCAAGGTTCGAACTTGAAAACTATTTCTTGCTATGATGTTTTGCCAGCCACCTAATGAGAACTCAAATTACCGACACGTCGGTTGAAAAATAAAGATTGAAATCCTCAAATTATAGAACGGTTACGGTAGGGTTCTATGGGCACCGATATTGATAATTTTTGGTACGAAATAATGAACATTTTCTATCTTCATCCAATTTGGTTAAAAAAAGCCTGCACAAATCTTGAGATGTCATGTCTACCGTTGAAAAATATTAAAAAAAATCCACGACTCAATAGACCTTGAAAAAATATTTCATAAGAAATCTAGTCCTTGACTAGGTTTGAAAAAAATATTTTTTTTTTTTTAATCTAGGGCTTGGCTAGATTTGTATAACAAATTTTTGAAAGCTTGATTTAAAAGAAAAAATATATATTTTTTTCTTTTAAATGAAGCCTTGGTTAGATTTGAAAAGTAGTTTTTTTTTTAAATTAACGCCTTGGCTAGGTGTTGAAAAAAATAATCTTAAAAATCCACGCTTTGGCTAGGTGTTTCATTTCATTTATTGAAATTAAATGAAACACCTAGGTGTTGAAAACAATATTTTATAAAAAAAACTCGCCTTGGCTAGGTTTAGATTTTTTAACCTAGACCTCTAGACCTTTTAATTTAAAATTTTTTATATACGCCTTGGTTAACATTGAAAAAATATTTTTTAAAGCCAAAAAACCTTGTCTGGAACTATAAAAAATATTTTTTTAAATTGGTTAACTTTGAAGAAATATTTTTTAACGCCTTGGTTAAATTTGAATAAAAATTATGAAATCCATGCTTTTGAAAAAATATTTTTTTTAAACCAGTGAGCAGCGGAGCAGTATAGTCGGACGGGGCCGATCATACGATACCCTACACAACTGCCACGGAACTCTAAATTTCTGCGGATGTTTATTCTGAGCCTGGGCAATATTTCGTGATATTTGCATCCTCTTGCCCGATTAGAGGGTAACAGCATTTCTTTCTAACACTGACATATATTTCGAATATTACTAATATTCAGTACAGCCATTCAAGTTACTTGTCTAGATTCCCTTCACCGTGGGTTGTGCTAGTGTGATGTTCGGCTTATAATTTGTGGCCAAAAAAAAAAAAAAAAAAACACAAAAAATTAAGTTTTCGGTCCACTTCATCCCAAAATTATTGTCTGATCATCACCGAAAATTATAGGCGTTGTCCATGACCATACCTGGCCCCCTCCATGGAAAATTTCAAAGCGATCAGGGCTATATTTTCGCCCTCCAGTGTGATAATGGGTTACTAAATAATATCTCAGTACGTAAGCACCTGTAAATATTTAAGTGTAACTCCCATATCCGAGTACATACGACAATGTAATTGGTATCAATTTAAAGCTCAACCACTCCTCTTGGATATACTCTCAACCTTATGGGTCTATATCCTTCAGGGGTAACGATATATGCAAAGTCAGGTCCATTGGATCCACTAAATATTGACCGTTTTTTATCAAAGCAGGCATGGTTTTTCTTTGACCCAACCCCCTTCTCCATGTAAAAATTCGCGATGTTTGGACCATAATTGCGGCCTCTGGAGCGACCGATTTTTACCAAAAACAATAGGGGTCTTCATTGGCCAGAACCCATCGTACATGCAAAATTTCGTGAAGATTGGTTCAGAACTGTGGCCTGTGTCGTGTTTACAAATTATAATGGACAGACAGATGGAAGGACACACATGCCTAGATCAATTCAGCTAGTCGAGATATGACGATCGGTATACTTAAAGGTGGGTCTAGGGCCAATATTTCGCCGCGTTACAAACTCTTGTGGCTGCACAAACCTATAATACCCTGACAACATAGTTGTGTAGGGTATAAAAATCCACGCCTAGGCTAGGTGTTGAAAAAATAATTTTTTTAAAAAATCCGTTGAAAAAAATTCACGCTTTGGTTAACTTTGAAAAAAATATTTTTTTTTAAAAAATCCAGGTCTTGGTTAAAATATTTTTTAAAAAATTCACGCCCTGTGTAGGTGTTTTTAAAAAATCAATCTAGCTGACATTCTACTTTCATTTATTGTTTTTTTTTTTTGCAAAAATTCTAGTTTTTTTTTTAAGCAAGCAACTATTGTGTCGATATCCCTACAAATAAATATGTATTTTGAAATTTGTTATTGTTTTTTATCTATACGATTACTGCAGGTGTTTTTTTTTTTTTTTTTTGTTTTATTTCATTCATCATTCGTTGAAAACCATAAAGAGACAGTAGAGAGAAAGGCGAACAAAAACAACAACCTTTTTCAATGTTGTTATCGAACTTATTGTTGTTGTCGATGTTGTATAAGTATCTACAGTTGTTGTTGTTGTTGTCAATGATGCTACTTCGTCATCTGTTGTTGGTGTTGGTGTTGTTGTTGCTATCGTTAATGTTGTTGACAATAACGACGACAATGAAGAAGTATTCGACGAGGACGTCGTTGGAGATAAGGAACACGATGTTGCAGCAGCAGCAGCTATAATTGCTGCTGCTTCGGTAGCAACAATTGGTGTTGTTGTTGTTGTGTTTGTTGGTACCGGCACCGGTGAGGGTGTTCCGCTATCGGCCGTCGCAACCGTGTTTGGAGAATGTTGGGGTGTTATGACAATTCGTACTTTACGTCGTCGTCTTTTATTGAAAATGTCGCGTTGACTGTGGGCCTCAGGGGAAGCACACAGCTTGGATGGTGATGCCGCCGCCGTTGCCACAGCCGTCATCAGTGATGGCGAGGACGGCGTTGATTTATTTTTATTATTACTATTATTATTGGCATTTGTTGTTTTTGTTGTTGTTGTACTGTTTTCATTTATTATTTTTATTTGTATGCAAGTTTTGGTAGAGGATGATGACTGCTAGAAATTAATTTTGGCGTATTTTTTGTTGTTGTAATTTTAAGCAAAACCAAAAAACAGAAGAAAATTTAACAACAACGACACACACATTCGTATAATAGGTATTTAAAATAATGATATATATAAAACAGACAGACACATATATAGTAAAGACACATGGAAAGTAGAAGAAGAAGAAAAGAAAAATAAGATAGAAGACAAAACAAGAAGAAGAAGAGGAAGAAAAATATTTAAAAAAAAAGAACATCAACATTTGTTTGTTGTTTTTTTAACACAAATTTAATTTTTTATATTTTTTAGAAAATATTTAAAAAATTAAAATAAAAAAAAAATAGAAAGAAGAGATAGAAGAAAGTATAGTAGAGTAAGATATAAATAAGTAGCTTGTAAGAAATATTAGTATTGCATTAATGTTTATTTTAATAAAAAAAAGTGTTTTGAAAAATTTTAATAGTTTTTTTTTTAACAACAGGTTTTACTACTACGTACATTGGACTCAAACAGGGTTTGCTAAAATATGTGGTGAGAGGGGGGGAGAGTATGTAAGGAAGGGGAAAAAATATATAAAACTATTAGTTGACATGACCCGAAAACTATAAGTTAGAGGATGGAAACGAAAAAAATATTACAACCAAATTTTCCGGAGGGAAAGCGTACACAAACAGTTATAAATAGAAATATTTTTTAAACCAGTGAGCGGAGCAGTATAGTCTGACGGGGCCGACCATATGATACCCTACACAACTTCCACGAATATCTAACTTTCTGTGGCACTACATTCTGAGCTACGGTAATATTTCGCGATATTTGCACACCCCTCTTGACCGACTAGAGGTCAGTAAAGCTCTTCTAATTACTTGTCCAGATTGCCTTCAACGGGGGTTTAATTGTGATGTTCGGCTTTCAATTGTGGCCTATGGATCGACTCGAAAACAAAACAAATTAAGTTTTCGGTCCACTTCATCCCAATATTATTATCTGATGATCATCGAAAATTATAGGCGTTGTCCTTGGGAAATTTCATATCGACCAGCGCTATATTTCCGCCCTCTAGTGTGGTAATGGGGTACTAAATAATATATGAATAAGTAAGCACCTGTAAATATTTAAGAGTAACTCCCACATCCGAGTACATACGACAATATAATTGGTATCAATTTTATGGCCAACCACTCCTCTTGGATATGCTATCAACCTCTCTGGTCTATGGCCTTCAGGAATAAATATATACGTTATAGAATAAACATTTTGTCATTTTGTACACAAAATATTGACCGATGTTTATCAAAACAGACATGCTTATTCTTTGGCCCGATCCCCTTCTCCTTGTAAAAATTCGCGATGTTTGGGCCGTAATTGCTGCCTCTGGAGCGACCAGAAAATCAGAGAGGTCTACGATTCGAAACGACCCGATTCTTTCTCGGCCAACAAAAATAAAGTTTTGGGTCCATTTCATCCCCTAAATATTAACCGATCTTTTCTTCATTGGTCTTCATTGGGCCGAACCCATCCTACATGCAAAATTTCGTGAAGATTGGTCCATAACTGTGGCCTGTATCGTGTTTACTAATTTTAATGGACAGACGGACGGACGGACACACATGTCTAGATCGACTCAGGTAGTTGAGATATGACGATCGATATACTTAAAGGTGGGTCTAGGACCAAGCTATAATAGTTGTGTAGGGTGACGACATAGTTGTGTAGGGTGACGACATAGTTGTGTAGGGTATAAAAATCCTCGCCTTGGCTAGGTATTGAAAAAATAATTCTTAAAAAAGTCCACGCCTTGGCTAGTCGTTGAAAAAAATATATATTTTTTAAAATCCACACCTTGGTTAGGTGTTGAAAAGTATTTTTTAATCCACGCCTTGGCTAGGTCTTGAAAAATATTTTTTTAATCCGCGCCTTGGCTAGTTGTTGAAAAAATATTTCTTAAAAACTCCACGTCTTAGCTAGGTGTTGAAAAAATAATTTTTAAAAAAATCTACGCCTTGGTTAGATGTTTAAAAAATAATTCTTAAAAAACCCACGCCTTGACTAGGTGTTGAAAAAAATAATTTTTAAAAAAATCTACGCCTTGGCTAGTTGTTGAAAAATATATTTTTTTAAATCCACGCTTTCGCTAGGTGTTGAAAAGTATTTTTTTTTAATCCACGCCTTGGCTAGGTCTTGAAAAATATTTTTTTAATCCGCGCCTTGGCTAGTTGTTGAAAAAATATTTCTTAAAAAATCCATGCCTTGGCTAGGTGTTGAAAAATATTTTTTTAAAAAATCCACTCCTTGGCTGGGTGTTGGCAATCTTTTTTTTTTTTGTTTTTTTTTTTTAATCAACACTTTAATATATACCAAAACATGGACCGATATTGATAATTTTATGCCTTCAGAATCTAGAAATACAATTTGAAATACTTGAATGTTTTTTTATTCTAGGTGTTCAATAAAATGTGCTGTGGGAATATGGGGACGGGGGTAGAGATCTACAAAACAACAACAGGTGGTTTCCAAAAAAAAGAAAGAAAAAACAACAACAATTCAAACACAAACAACAACAACCATTAAAACGTCAACTACTATGGGCGTTCTGTTTTGCTTCAAAGAAAAACAAAACAAAGAGAAACAAAAGGAAAGGAAAATAAAGAAAAAGAATTTTGCAAAAAATCTGAATCTGGGGTTTATGGATGGATAACCTAATTATAACTGGGAGGGAAGAAGAGGAGAGTAAACAACAAAATAATTAACAATCTAGTTTTCTTATAATAATTTTCATTAATTTGTCCGCCTTGCTTTGTACAACAAAAATATTGAATTTCAAATAAAAGTTTTCATTTTTCATTTTTTCATTTTACCACAACTCACCTGAGAATCTTCCGAATCTTGCCGTGTATCTAATAGTGTATTCAAAGAACTATTTACATCTTCATCAATATCAATGGGTATAACAGCAGCCATACCTTCACGTTGTATTTGCTGTAGATGATCTTCCGATTTGCTGGTTCGAAAACCGGCCGAATCACATTTGCGCACAATTTGTCCATTGTGGTGGTGATGGTGATGATGGTGGCGTCGCACCACACCGCTGGTATCAACGGCGACGCCGCCGGAACCGCCAGGACCTCCAGCCCCCATATTTGATGGCTCAGGGCTGGTTGGCACGGAATTGGCCGTTTCCTTGTCTATCAGCGGTGTGGACAAGGAGATGGGTGATGTGGGTACCGAGAATGAGGTTTCATCCTGTGATGTATTATTGCCACCGCCACCACCGGCATTTGCCCCACCGCCGCCCATTGTGGCAGATGATGATGAAGATGCTGAGCTACGCAAATTACGCGAACAATCCACATTGTCCTCGGACCGCAATTTGTAACGCAAGGCAGCCTTTTGTTTTAAAGCTTTTAGTTTTTGTTTTGTTGTGGTGGCGGCCACCGCCGCCGCAGAGCTGCCCAAGGAGTTGGGATCTTCGGGTAGATTCTCACCATCAACGTCGTCTTCGTCATCCTCATCTTCTTGCATTAGACATTGTCTATCACTAGCCTCATCATCGGCCTGGATACTGCCACCACGCCCTCCCATACCACTGTTATAGGTTTCCAAATTGGTAATATCGTAATTGGTTTGATCCTCCTCATCGTCCATTTCATCATCCTCCTCCTCATCGTCTTCCGCGCCTTCACCGGGATAATTGCCATCATCGTAGTCTTCATCTTCATCGGGATTTTCATCGTCATCCTCCTCCTCCGCATCGTCTTCGTTCTGATAGTATTCATAGGTTTTTTGTTTTTGTCGATTACCCTGCTGCTGCTGTTGTTGGTGGTGGCGTTTGTGTTTATTTTGTTGTTGGACATAACGTTGATGACGATGCTGCTGCTGATGTTTGGCCCCATCACCGCCACCACCCTCGCCCTCATCATCCTTTTCCAATTCCTCACACAGCAGCAGTGTATCATTGGTCAGCGAGTCCTGGCGATTATTGTAGGTTGTATCCATACTATCGGGGTGGTGTGGTGGTTGTGGCTGATAGTTTTGAAGATGTTGCGCCAGCGCTTGTTTCTTATGGAAACGGGACTTTTCTCTATTCTGTAAATTCTTGGAATCGGTTGTGGTGTGACTGGCATGTGTGGGCGATTCCTGGGATGACGATGAGGTGGGTGATGATTCACCCGAAGCCTTGGGCGCCAAGGCGCCATTGGCCCTTGCCAGTCCCACACGATTTGGCGAGTCCCGCAACGAATCAACCTTTTTGGCTTGCACAGTCAAGACATTGCTACTTTGGGGAGTGCGCGAGAGATTCAATATCAAATCACCCGTCATCATATAGGCCTCGAAACGTGGTGCCTTGGCAGGTTGTGGTGGTGCTGAGTTGGGTTCGGGCGGTGTATCACGATCTTCTGAGGAGTTATTTGAACGGTTTAGTCTTGTCGAGGGGTGGCCACCTCCTCCGCTACCACCATAGCTATTCGAATGTTGTAAGGAATGTGGAGTAGGTCCTGCCGCTGCCGTCTGTTGTGTATTGCCATTTATGTTCGTTGAGTTAGCAGTGACGACACCAGACTCGGACGCCGCTGTCGATGTTATGGAAGATGTCATTGATGTACCCATAATACCACCACCAGCAGCCTTGGGTATTTGTGAGGGCCGGGGCCGTTTATGCTGTGGCGATTGTTGAGGTTTTTGGCTACTTTTCTTGGCTTGCGGTATACGTGAGGGTATGCGTGATGTGGGCGAGGTGGCTGTGTTGGGTCCACCACCCTCTAATTGTATTTTATTTGATGAGGCCGAAGAACTACGACTATGATTGGCGGAATTGGTGGCGGCGGCCGCTGCTGCGGCATGATGACGTGGTAAATTTGTGGTGGCCGTGTTGGTTGAGGATTTATAGCGCGACGATGATGAGGCAGGTGAGTGATTGGGACTCGATGTCGCCGCCGCCGTCGATTGTTGTACAATTGTTGTTGATGTTGCATTGTGCGTGGTTGTTGTTGTCGTCGTCACATCATATTGGAATTTACTATTGCTATTATTACTACTACTACTGTTGTTGGCAGCTTCGTGATGTTGTTGTTGCTGATAGTGATGGTGATGCTGAGGTGATGATCTTATTTGACGCTGATTATGATAATCATAATTGTTAGTGGGTGATGTTTCAATATCTATATAATGGGGACTTTTTGTATTGGCTAGCTGTTCCTTTATGCGGGCCTTCAGTTTGGGATCTGTAGAGAGAGAGAGAGAGAGAGAAAATTAATGAAAAGTATTTGGAAATTATATCATTTTTCTTCTTACCTCTTTTCAGTTCCAATGTTACCAAATCTTCGGACAATCGTAAACATTTCAGTACCTCCTTCGTTGTATACTGATGAACATCGATGCCATTTACTTTGAGGATAACATCACCGGCTTCAACCTGGAAGGAAAATAAGAAGCAAAATTTAAGATAACTAATTAAAAGGAATTTTAAAAACTAATTCTATGATAAAAACATTTTAAAATATTAGGCCTTAGACAAACATAACCTCAATTGCTGTGAGAATTTCAAAGAAAATGGGATTTTTTTCAAAAACCTCAGAATCTCTGTGAACCATACATTTTAGACATTGGGTGCCATTGACAATTTTTCGCACAACATTATGATTAAAAAATTTGTAGAACACGTTAACCCACTGGCGGCACGTTGAAGGGGTCTTTTAGGTCCAATTTAGGTAATAATTATCGAAAACCGAACGAAAATGAGACTTTTTCAAAAACCTAAGAATCTCCGTGATTCATACATTTTAGACATTGGGTGCCATTGACAATATTTCTCGCAACATTATGAGTAAAAATTTTGTGGAACACATTAACCCACTGGCGGCACGTTGAAGGGTCTTTTAGGTCCAATTTAAAAATTTTGGTCATAATTATCGAAAATCGAAAGAAAATAGGATTTTTTCAAAAACCTAAGAATCTCGGTGATTCATACATTTCAGACATTGTGTACCATTGACAATATTTCTAAATTGTAGAACACATTAATCCTCTGGCAGCGCATTGAAGGGGTCTTTTAGGTCCAATTTAAAAATTTAGTTTATAATTAAAGAAAAACAAATTATTTCTTGTGATTCTCACATTTTAGACATCTCAAATGTTCGGCAAGATTTCTCGCAACATTGTGAGCAACATTTTTGTAAAAGACATTAACCCTCTAGCGACCTGTTGAAGGGTTCTTTTTAGGACCAACATAAAAATTTAGTTAATAATTATCGAAAATCAAATTTTTTCTTGTGATAATTACATTAAAGGCATATGATGTGTTCGGTAATATTTCTCGCAAGACTCTGAGCAATATTTTTGTAGAACATATTAACCCTCTAATGACCCATTATAGTGATGGGATTTGGGCATATTTTTAAAGGAAAAATATATATTTCCAAAGAAAATATAAATATTTCCAAAAAATCAAGTAAACCACAAATTCAAAATATTGGGTGTGTTCGAGAATCTGATATGTAAGATATCGATTAACATTTTTGCAAAATATATTAACCCCCTAAATATTCTTTGTAGCATACTTTTGGGCGCATTTAAAAAAATATTTAGAATAAGACATATGAAGGGCATGAATTCAAATAGTGCCCAATTCTCCCACAATTCTCGGTTTTAGGAGGAAGACACCAATGGAAAAACTGTTCCTCATCAAATTTCACTAGGGGTCACGGAATAAAAGAATTGGGTAGATTTAACAAAAATCTGTACAAATTTTGGTTTAAAATAAAACTAACGAATTATTTTAAGGTTATGTATATATTAGTCAGAAAAGTGTCCAATTCTACCACAATATAGGAGGAAGGCGCAAATAGAAAAATTCTTCCTCGTCGAATTTCTCTACAGGTCACCGAACAAAAGATGTGGGTAGCAATTGAATATATCAGCAGAAATTTTGTTTAAAAATAAGATTACTAAATTTTTGAAGGTTATGTTGGTAACATTTCAAGAAGTGTCAAAATTTCCCATAAAACTCGGTTTTAGGAGGAAGACACCAATGGAAAAGTTATTCCTCATCAAATTTCACTATGGGTCACTGAACCAAAGAAGTGGGTAGCTATGGAAAATATCAGCAGAAATCTCGTTAAAAATGTGTGTCTGTGTGTGTGTTTTGTAATTTTTGAAGGTTGGTAATATTACAAAAAGTGCCCAGTTCTCATATAATGCTCGGTTTTATGAGAAAGGTACCAATGGAAAAATTGTTCATGATCTAATTTCACTATCGGTCACCGAACATAAGAAGCGGGTAGCTATATAAAATATCTGCAGAAACTTCGTTAAAAAATAGCATAACTAATTTTTTTAAGGTTAAGGTGATATAATTTCAAAAAGTTCTCAAATATCCCACAAAACTCGATTTTAAAAGAAAGGTACCAATGGAAAAAATATTCCCCACTAAATTTCACTATGGGTACCCGAACAAAAAAAGTGTACAGCTTTAACAAAAATGTGTAAAAACGTTGGATTAAATAAAACCATCGATTTTTTAGGGTTATGTTGGTATCCGTACAAAATATGTCCAATTTTCCCACATTACTCGGTTTTTTGAGTAGCAGTCCAATGGAAAAATTGTTCCTCATCAAATTTCACTATGTGTCACGGAACCAAAGAAGTGGGTAGCTATGGAAAATAACAGCAGAACTTTCGTTAAAAAATGTGTTTTTTTTAATTTTTGACGGTTATGTTGGTAACATTACAAAAAGTGCCCAGTTCTCATACAATACTCGGTTTTAAGATAAAGGCACCAATCGAAAAATTGTTCCTGATCAAATTTCACTATGGGTCACCGAACAAAAGAAGTGGGTAGCTATAGAATATATCAGCAAAATTTTCGTTTAAAAATAAGATTACTAATTTTTTAAAGTTATGTTGAGATCATTTAAAAAAGTATCAAATTCGTGCACAATATACGGTTTTAGGAGGAAGGCGTCAATGGAAAAATTGTTCATCATCAAATTTTACTATAGGTCTCCGAACAAAAGAAATGGATAACACTTCAAAAATATTAACAGAAATTTTGCTAACAAATGTTTTATTTTTTTTTTTAATTTTTGATGCTTATCTTGATAACATTGCAAAAAGTGTCCAGTTTTCCTACAATGCTCGGTTTTAGGAGGAAGGTACCAATGAAATAATTGATCCTCATCAAATTTCACTATGGGTCACCAAACAAAAGAAGTGTGTAGCTTTAACAAAAATGTGTAAAAATTTTGACGACAACAGAGAAATTTAGAAAAAATTAAAAAGATGCCCACAAGGGCGTATGATGAATATTAATTCATTGGCAATACGTATACGCCCAAGTGTTTGGGTATTATAAAAATAATAAGAACCTATTTTTTACACCAAATAATTGTAAAAGTTTTACGATGTGTTGAAAATAATTTTCGAAATACTGACTCATAACCTCAAAAAGAATAGATTTTTTCTGCTAACATCTCCACTGCCTAAAAAAATATATATCAACCAAAAAAATCAGTGATATGTAATTTCTGTTGTTGTTGTTGTTTTTATTTGCTTTCCTATTCATGTCATTCGCAAAACAACAACAACAATAAAAAAAAGTACACTTGATTTTTATCCATCTAAGTGGAAATATCAAAAACAAGCCTCTTTTACACAGCACCAACCAACCGATTGCTGTCATGGTGTTGGGGGGTGGCATGCCTATTTGATAGGCCATCCATCCGTCAGTCTGTCAGTCAAACACCACACATACCCATACCCCTAACCAATCACCCTCTCTAACAGATATTTAGGCCACCAGAGCACCACAAATAATATTGTTGTTCACTTTGATTTGTTTTCACTTTCTTTCTCTTTTCAATATTTTGTTGCAAGACACCAAAAAACAGCAACAACAACCAACAAAAAAATCAATCAATAATATATTTGTGGTTCCGAGAGTTCAGAGCATATATCGATGAAGCTAAGCTCCGATTCGCAATGGGTGGGTGGATGGGTGTGTGTGTGTGTGCAAGCGAACAAATCTGTTCCACATATATAATTACCAAAGGGACATGCATGCCATTCTTCGTCTCAAACAAACACACCAAGATTTGTGAGTGTGTGTGTGTGCGGCCAATGAGGGAGGTTGGGAGGGTGTTTGAGAATGCGGTATTTGAAATTATGTAGTGGTTTTAGAAAAAAAATGACTGCAAGACATGGAAATTCAAGAAGAAAAAAAATCATTGTACCCCTAAGGCAAAGGCAAAGATAGTCGGAGATAGACCACACCACCCCACCTTTAGATATTTATGTTTTGCAAACAAAATTTCACTTAATACCATTTAACAACCTAAGGATATAAGATTGCTCTTTTTGTTCATGCAGCTGCCGAAGGAGGAGGGGAATGGTGGAGGATACGCAAAACTATGTTAAATTGAAATGATATAAACATGACCTTAAAATTTTTTGTAATATTTTTTTAAACAAAGTTTCAGATATTTTCAATAGCTATCCAATTTTTTTGTTCGGTGACCCATATTGGAATTTGATGAGGAATATTTTTTCCATTGGTGTCTTCTTCCTAAATCTGAGTATTAGGGGAGAATGTGACACCTTTTGAAATTATATCAACATAACCTTCAAAAAATTTAGTTATATTTTTTAAACGAAGTTTCTGCAGATATTTTCTATAGCTACCCATTTCTTTGGTTCGGTGACCCATAGTGGAATTTGATGAGGAATATTTTTTCCATTGGACCCATCCTCATGAAAGCAAGTATTAGGGGAGAATTTGACACTTTTTGAAACTATATCTACATAACCTTCAAAAATTTAGTATTTTTTTGTTTAAACGAAGTTTCTGCAGATATTTTCAATAGCTATCCACTTCGTTGGTTCGGCGACCCATAGTGGAATTTAATTAGGAATATTTTTTTCCATTGGACCCATCCTCCTGAATGCTATTATTAAGGGAGATTTTGACATTTTTAAAATTTTGTCAATATAACCTTCAAAAATTTAGTAATATTTTTTAAGGAGATTTTTTCTATAGACATTTCTTGTTGAAATGATATAAACATAACCTCCTCCTGAAAGCAAGAATTAAGGGAGAATTTGACACTTTTGAAAAAATATCAACATAACCTTCAAAAATTAAGTAATATTTTTTTTGAACGAAGTTTCTGCAGATATTTTCTATAGCTACCCCCTTCTTTGGTTCGGTGACCCATAGGGGAATTTGATGAGGAACACATTTTTCATTGGGCCCATCCTACTGAAAGCAAGCCTTAAGGGTGATTATGACACTTTTCGAAATTATATCACCATAACCTTCAAAAATTTTGTTATATTTTTTTAAACGATGTTTCTGCCGATATTTTCTATAGCTACCCATTTCTTTGGTTCGGCGACCCATAGTGGAATTTGATGAGGAATATTTTGCCCATTGGAACTATCCACCTGAAAGCAA